GCTGCGGGGCTGTTGTCTTCCGCGCGGTAGCTCAGAGCCTCGGGTGCTACAGGCTCCGGTTGGACGCCCGATTTGGGGAAAACATAAATCGGGACCTGAGCCCTCCTCCCCAACTTGGGATTTTTCCCCCAACTTGGCACTTGGAGGTATTCAACCCACGTCCTTCGGTCCAAGAAAATTGTCATTGGCCATGGAGTCCAAGGAGCCAATGATTCATCATCTGCATAGGAGCCATGGAGCACTAACCAAAGCCAGTCTGGCCAACCCGTCCACTATGGTTGGATTCATGGTAGCATGGTGCTGCACGTGTGAAATGTCGGTCTCCTGTTGCAGTTTCAAACATCCGAAAAGAATGCTTGCTCGTGGGCAGCCATGTCTGTTTGCATTTATTGAGGTTGAAAGCTGCATTCGCATCGATTTGACTGACAATTGTCCCCATGATATCAAGTCATATCAAGTCACCCACCGTGCCGTGGCCATGGCACACTGGGTCCCTTGAGGATCTTTCAGATGGGCAATACTGTGGATGGACGAAATCCTGCACCACCTAAGAACCCCTGCAAAATGATTCGATCCCTACAAGAACCAACAAACACTGGGTTTCAACCGGTTTCAACCATGGTTTCAAAAGGGATTTCATCCATCTAACGTTTTATGCCATATCGCAGCGCCGATTGGATTGTCCTCCAATGCAAGCACTGAGGTGGCACCTCCACCGGTGCCGGAGACAGAGGACGCGGTGCGAAGTGAGTGGGTGAGTTTGGGCTGGCCGTTAAGGGGGAAGCTTCAAACAGGTTGCGACATTGGTTGCACCTCAAGAAGTGCTTAAAAATTGAGGCGACTTTTTTCTCCTGTCTTTTTTTCGGTGTAGTTTTCGCTGGAGCGATTCGGGGGAAACCGTGGTGCTCTTCTCGGTTTCCCTCTTGCCCTTCGGCTGAGTTGGTAGCCTTGGGTTTCTTCGAGCCCTAAGGGCCGTAGGGTTTGGAGGCTACGGGCGCCCGAAATCGGCCAGCCATGGGAATTCACACACCTTCCCTTGGTTGTGGCTGCCATGGGTTTTTGGGGCATCCACCTGATCTCGCCCGCAGAGGCCACAAATCCATGAATGCGCAAAAGCACAAATAGAAAAGAAATAACAACATATCACAACAACCTAAAAAAACAAGATACACCAGCATAGACCCCAGATAGCACACCACGGCAACGAACCATGACGCGCATCATAATGGTTCCCGCGGCATGATGATGATGTTGACAGCATCTTGATGATGTTGACAGCATCATGGAAATACCACAGCTACTCAGCATAGAGCGCTACATAGATGCACGGACAACGTCCTAGTGAGTCTATCAGCAAAACTGATGTTGACAGGGTGATGCTGCTACATACACCAGCCACGAACGATTCCGATCTAGCAGCAAAAAGGCAGAGACAACGTCCTGATGAGTTCGACAGCATCACGATGATGCGGACAGCATCATGATGATGCTCACAGCATCATGGTGATGGCAAAGGCAGCATCCTGATGATACCACAGCCACGAATCATCTTGCGACAGTGTAATGAAATTCAGCATCACCCGATGTTGACAGCATTATGCCCGCCACCATGCCCAAAAACCAGAACGCGGCACCGCAGCGATTGCAGCCGCATCATAACGTGAGTGACAACATCATGATGATACACAAGCCACGAACCATTACGCGCGACAGTTAGCGCAGCAACAACGTCCGAATCGGTTCAACAGCATCATGATGCTGCTGATAGCATCATGATGCTGCGGCCAGCATCATGAGGATGCGACAACCACGATACCCCAAACAGCACCCGCCCTAGCACCCTGGCATCCATATGCGGCCGCAACTGGGAAACAGCAGCCCCAATAGCACCCCAACGCAGCACCCGCGCCAGCACCGGACACGTCCCCGAGCACCCTGCCGTCACGTACTGTCACCAGCACCTGCACCGAACAGCACTCATTAGAAGTCTCGGGTTTCCGGTTATCCGGGAAATAAGCCCACGTCAGCAGCACCTCCAACAGCAACACAAACCTGCACCTGCACCACCACCCCAAACTGCATGCCCCCTAGCACCCGGCCGTCAGTTTCGCAAAGCGGCACCTTCACCAGCGCCCGAAACTGCATGCCCGCTAGCACCCGGCCGTCAATCTCGCAAAACAGCACCTCCACCAACACTCCAAACTACATGCCCCCTATCTCGCAAAGCGGCACCGCATGCCCCATAGCAACCCGCCGTCAATCTCGCAAGACAGCACCTCCACCAGCGCCCCGAACTGCATGGCCCCTAGCACCTGGCTGTCAATCTCGCAAAGCGGCACCTCCACCAGCGCTGCAAACTGCATGCCACCTGGCGCCCGGCCGTCAAGCTTGCAAAACAGCACCTCCACCAGCACCCCAAACTGCATCCCCCCCAGCACCCGGCCCTCAATCTCGCAAATCACTTTCCCTTCTTTATTAGGAGTGAGAATTTCTGTAGCTTTCAGCTATCTGGGGAAAAGGAAGAAAAAAACGCAAGAGAAAAAACAACTGACTCCACCCTACTATTCGTTTCCAAGGCTCATGCAATCAACTGATACCAGCGACGCGAAATCGAAGCGCAGGAGGACATTCCGCCGCCTCCGCCGCCTCCGCCACCTTAGGCGAGCGGGGCCCAGCGACCATTGGCTTAAGACGTTGATTTTCGCCCGGTGGGTCTATGACTACTGCATGAGCACTCATAATATAATGAATCACATATATTTATGTATATAGGAGATGATATATATATATATATATATATTATACACATATTTATGTGTGTGTGAGTGTTTGTTTTAAAGAAATGTTTTGTGGAGGAGGGGCAAATGTGTGCATATGTTCGGTTCTTACCTGGATTCATCGGGGCTATAGTAAAGCCTTCATAAACCTGTTTAACCAAACCTGATTCCAAATACCAAGGGGTTTGTGAATTTCCTGCAGAGTTTCCTGTAGCTGGCTTCTGAGAATGTGGATGTTTCCCAGACTGGCGGACTCCCGTTTGGGGTTGGTGTGAAAAAGCTTTCGAAGGCAAACATGAACCGCAGGGGGGGTTTAGACCACCAATTTTCAGGTTTCAACAACCCTCAAAACGGGAAGCCAACAGAAGCTTGTTGTTCAACAGGTGTTTTTTCCACTTATTTCCGGTACCTTGAATTGGTGGTGTGGATTGCTTGGGAGTCTGCACCCTGCCTTTTGAAGCATGCGGGTGTGCCGACACCCGAGGTCCAAGCCACCCAGCCACAACACCAAAGGTGAAATATGAGGGGCTTGGGGCCAGCAAAAGGGAGCACGACATATGTCGAGACAAGCGTTTGTTTTGGAGATTCCTCTTTGGGGGCCACTTTGTGAGGTGAAGCGAGATGCGCGAAGATTCCTGAGTGAGTGCTGCATGGTCTTGTGTGGCGTTGAGAATCACGAGGGTCGGTCTATCAACAGAATGTAGAGGTTGTCCTGGAAATGGCCGGACTATTTCTGCTCATCTTTTGAAGTTTCATCTTTTGCGGCGTCATTTCTTTTTTCCGACCTAAGACGAGCCATTCGCAGATTAGATGGCTCGCAGTGCCAGGTTGCAAGATCCGGCCGCGCGGCTGCTCAGAAGTCGCCTACCATGATTGGGGCTGACCTTGGGTACGCTCACCAAACTACTAGGAGTTGGGAGAGGGGTCCTCATTGGGGCAATAGGATGTTGACTGTGGCTCATGTACCGCTGGGTGTCCGCCAAGCATGGGAAGAAGTGCAGGGAAAACCCAATTTGCGTCTTTCCAAAAACTGCTTCCACCCCCTCTCCAAAAGCAACCGTTGCCGCCAAGTTGGGGGACTGTGAGAAACTTTATCTAGGTCGTTTTGTGGTGAACAGGTGTTCCAACGCTGATATGGGTCTGTTTTTAGGGGATCCCCGAGATAGGGGGTTTTCCTCTTGGTTTCCCTTTTTCCATTTAACAACAACCAAAAAAAGGCCCCCCCCCCGAAAGAAAACAATCCCATACCTGCGACCTCCGGAGGGTACATTTTTTTGGCGTTTGGCGAAAAGGCATTTGTTTCTGCCGTTTCACGAAAAAAGCGCCGTTTGCCTGAAAAACTGCCGTTTCACAAAATGCTCGTGCAACGGTCGGGAAAAGTTGCCGTTTGGACGGGAAAAGTTGCCGGTTGGACGGGTAAAATTGCCGTTTCGATTCAGTAAGCAACCGCCTGTATTGCTCAACTTGCAAAAGTGTCGTTTCGCACAAAAGGTGCCGTCTCGATGGAAAACATAGTTTTTAACCAAACAGCAGAAACATGTACCCGCCAGGAAGCCACAGGTATGGTAAATGAAACGGCCTCTGGACTTTTCAGCCTCATCTCAATTCGACGCGTTCGCCTAGGAGGCCCAATGAGTCGTTCGCCCGGTTTGCAGAGTGGCGAGCGGAGCAGTGCAAAGTCTACTGCAAAGGGGTCTTGTCTTGGAGCCTTCAAACCCCACCTCAAGCCCTTGCGAAGGGCGGGGGGTTGAACTCGAATCCCTTCAAGAGGGGCTTGAAGAAGAGCTTGAAGGGAAGTTAGCTGGGCCAAAGAAGTTGCGAAATGAGATCTCTTCAAGGTGTTGTGACCAACTGAGTTGTTTTTCTAGTTTGTTTGTTGATCCCAGTGAAGTTCACTGGAGTCCGGAAAGCGCTTTCCCTTTTCCCCGGAGAAGCAGGGAAGGGGACCCTCGTTTGGAGGGTAGCAATACGCCCGACGACTGGCAGGGTCGTTGCGGCGTTGCCGTTGCTCACGCGATGCAGATTGCGTCGGTGTGTGAATTGATTTTATTCAGGCAAGCGCATAGGCAAAAAGGGTCAACTCTGTTGCTGCGTGCCAAGTGGCAGGCTTGAAGCAATGAGAACTGAACCTCTCTGCATCGCAAGCCTCAAGCAGAACCGCAGGTGATACGATCGACGGACCGTATATGTGATTATCCAAGCTTCCATCTGTTGGTCGCTGCTATGCAGCTTGGCAGAATCCGGATACCGAGCTCTGGCAAAACGAGGTCAAGCTGGGTTTTGACGGGGAAAACGCTCAAGTGAATGGTTTTGTCGTGGCTTGAGCCAGCGGAGAATCATGCTATGCGTTTTTTTCCGTCCGTTTTCGGAACCCATAAGAACCCGTTCAACGGCTCCAATGTGACTTACACATCTTTCTCCTGAAGCGTGTAAACGAAGCACGTACCCAGCCAACTCCTTGAGGCTGTAAAGTGGACCCCTTTTGATTGGCATCTTTGGGTTGTCCCTTTTGTTTTTTCCAAAAAGCCGCCCCCCCAAACTGGTACCCACAAAAAAGGAACACCCGCAGCGTTCAAACATACAAACTGAGACGATGCTTTTTTGAGACACCCATATAATGGCACTACTACATGATTTTGGGTTTCCCTTTGGTTTTCCTTCAAACCACCCCACCCACGAACAAGGAACCCCCCCAGTAAAAACACCTGAGACGATGCTCCCGGCCGAAACGTCGTCGCCTCGGCGCGATGCTCCTGGGCGCGGTGGAGCCGTCTGAGCGCTTGGACTTCTTCTCTCACCCCCAGGGCGAGGGCCCGAGGTGTTGCAGGGAATCTGCGTATGTCGAGCGAAGCGTCCCGGGTTTTTCAATCACTCCCTGAGTTCAGGGACTTGAGTCACTTTTTGAACGTGTTCGGGGTAAGGGAAGTTAGTTAAGGGGGATTCCCTTCCAGTTCAATCATGTTGATTCCCAAAACCCGAAAGGTTAGTCTCGGATGAGAACCACCCGAGTTGAACTTTGTTTTTTGTGGTTGATGTGGGCATGTTGTGTCGGTGAGAGTAATCCGAGACACAAGAGGTGCCGAACTTTAGTCGCGTTTTGGGAAAGCTATTTTTAGCGACAAACAACAAGTGCGGGCTTTTCCCGGCTAATCCGTGCTGATACAGCAATCAAACCCAAAGGGCGCCCAGGCATACCTGATGGGGGGGGTTCCACATGGTTGTGCTTCCCTGTGTTTTCCCTTGACAACGGGCCACAACGCGGGTACGCGCGCGAAGTGGTGCTTCAACCGGAAGCAGGTGCCGTCGCCCAAGCGTTCCGATCGCGGTCGGCTCCGGCAGGTTTGCTGGTCCTGGATGAGCGCTTGTGCCTCCCGGGCGCCGGGAATGTGAGGCCGCGAAGCAAATGCGTCCAAACACACTTGGTACGGAAGTGCATTTGCAAAAGAACACGCATGGAAATGGAAAATGGAGTGTGTTGGGTCCCTGTGGCGGAAGCTTAGGTCGTGTTACCCGGTGAGCCTATAAATTACCCTGAAAGAAACATCCTGGAACTCGAATGTAAAGGGATCTTCTATTGTTAAGTAGACCCCTTCTGAATTTGTTGGGAAGCAAACACTGTTCAGGCTTTTTCGGGATTCCCATCCCATATGCACAAGCAACTTATTGGCAATTCCATGTTAATCTGCAGCCGGAGGGGGAGTGCCGGCCCGTCTTTCAACACACGTCCGCCAGGATCCATTTCCACGCGGGGTCTGCGACAGAGCAGTTCCGCCTCCAGCCGCATGGCAGGAATGGATTTGAGTTGATCCGGTTGTTTCTCTTTTGTTTTTCACCTTGAGGTGCTGTGTTCTGGTGTGTTTGCCCCACACCGAAGGTGATTTGTTTCAATCCTTAAGGCGTGTTGTCCCGAAAAGGGAACCAACCCCTTTGTTTGGCCCTGGGTATTGAATACCCTCGCTTAGCATTGTCGAGGTTGCCGCGCGAAAAAACCAGCAGTTGTGTGTGTGTGTTTTTTTTTTTTTTTTCCGCGCCTTGTCGCGCGGTCTCCTTCCTGGAAGCAAATATGGACCTTTTGTTTCAGTGCTGCGTATATGTCCCCAATGTGTTGATAAATCACATTTTGGAGTTCCCGATTTATTTCGTGGTGTAAGGGAGGTTGGGAGCATCGCGAGCGCAGGTTTCCCTCCAGATGACAAGAGATTCGATTCTTTCTTTTTGCGAAGCAAAGTCTGCATGGAGGTGATTTCTCGTTTGACTCCGTCCTAGCTTTGTTGTTGACCCGTTGATTCTCCAAACCCCAAGTTCGTGACTAGCCCAAGCCCAAGTAAAGTGTGTCGAGTCAAATGTCCATAAAGATTGCCTCCTGCACCCCCCTCTCAACAATACCCTGGTAGACATCAAGCCCCAGGTTGCTACGGCCCTTTGAGGCGGAGGTGGGCGCAGGCGCGGGGAAAACGAGGAAAACGGGCAAAATGCTGGGAGAGCCCAACTTCCAGCCAGGGAAACCAGACCTTTTTCCAGGCGACCCTGTTACGAAGGCTCTGTTTGATGGGGTGATTCCCTTTGCATCTCCTGCCTGGTCCTATGAGCTCGCGCTGGTCCGGCTTTCCAGGTTTCGAGCCAGGAATCGGAGGGCATCGCTGGCGAGACCATCCCAGTGAACGTGCAGTGAGATTCCAAGTGCATCTTCCTTTGGATTCCAACGGTTCCATCAAACTCATGCTGGAGTTGCAACAACATTCCAATTTTTGCAGAGGCTCCTGCCGTTTTGGTAGCTTCCCTTTTGATGGCTTGAGAGTCTCTGATGGTTTTTCTGGTGCTTTGGACCGTCACAGGATTCCTCTTTCCTAGGCCCGTGGCTAACATGTTCCAACCGAAGCATCTCGTTGATGCCCCGCGACTTGTTGATCCGGCTTTTGCGGGCGCGAAGTCGGAAGATCGCAGCCAAGGCAAGGCATGACGTGCTTTCCTTGTGAATCAAGGGATGGCCGCAACTGCTTCCCTTTGAAGGAAAACTGGGTAAAAAACAAACCTGGCTTGCATGCACCATATCCACATCCTCGGAATCCATTCCGAACAGCAGAAAGCTCCCTCTAACCACCAAATTTCTGGTGGAGTTAAGTTATCTTCCTTTTGTTGGGCGGGGAAAACCAAATTCTGCTTACTTGTCCGTAACTGTGCAAAGGAAAAAGCTCCCCTCGGACCGCTCATGGCGGGCGGTTTGCAGGCTATCAGCTGCTGGAGGCTATGGAGCTGCAGGTGGAGGATTGGAGCTGAGGGAGCGAACTTTTCGGAAGCGAAGTCCCATGAAGCGCCAAAAAAAACAAAAACTTCCTGGGTTTGGTGGTGTTCTTGAATAGTGTGGTATCACCTATACTGCACAAAAAGATAGCTCAAGATTGATCCATATCTGTTAGAAGCATAGATTATGCCTATTACCTACTTATTCATGTAAGCCGGTACCCATGTTTTGGTCGGCTTGGTTTTGGGGTAAATGTCAATCGAAACGAGCCGTCGGTTTTCGCTAAACATCACCTGGGTGCCTCTTGAGGCGAAAGGTGCCTGTTGCAAGGCTGGCTTTGATTTCTGGCAACCGACAGGAAAGCCACAGCCCAGTTTTTGAGCGGCCCAACGACCCGATTTTAAGACACACCAACCTTGTTGGCCCATTTAATGGTGAGTTTCCCTTGGTAGGGGTGTTGCTTTACGGGCAAGTGTAGGGAACCCTGTTTCGCTGGGTACCAAGCTGTGCCAAAACAATTCCTCTTGAAAAGTAGAGCAAAACGGAGCCAAAAGATAAGGTCTGAGCATTCCTCCGCAAATTAACATGGAAGTCAAAAAGGGACCCCCCAAAATGAGATTTCTCGCTTTTTGGGTTCAACATGTTAATCTGAGTGTAGTGCCAGGCACTTTTGATGGGTCCGGCTTTCATCCAGGGCTTAGTTGTTGGGGTTGTAGGAACCCTTTCCCTTTCCAGGCAGTCATTATCCAGGTGCCTTGGAACTCCGAAATTTCTGTGCTGTCAAACAACAGGTGATTGTTTTTGGGTGCGCTGGAGCAATCTAGTTGGAATCCTGTCGAAGCTTGTTGACTGTCGGCGAGCGCCTATCATGATCCGGAAACGACGGGAGGAGAGCGCCAAACATCCAAAAAACTACGCTTCAACATTGAGTTTTGACGTTCTTTTCGCTCCCTGGAGGCCAAGAATTTTGAGACCGCATCACCAGCATGTCCAGGATAATTTCAGCTAAGTAGGGCTTCAACGTGGCGGATCAGCGCCCAGCCGGTCTCAATGATGCTGGTGTTGCTGGCAATGTTCCTTCCTCCAATGGTTTTGTCACTCAAATGGGCGGTTGTTCTACCTGGTTTCATGCGATTTGCGATTCGACTCAACACCTTGATCCATCGGTTTGGAAGCGCAAAGTCAGTTTGGTAGTTGCGCAACTTAGAGCAAGCAGATCCACCTGGTAAACCAACTTCACTCATGGCCATTCCTTAGTGTGAATGACCCTTGGTTTTTGTGTGCCCGACTTGGTGAGCATTTGTGAGGATTGGAATGAGTCCGAAGCAACCACATGCTCTCACAACGGGAATGTGGGGACAGTGAGGCCATGGCTCTTGGCAAAGGTATGTGTGGGCCCACGTTACCACAGATTTCCGGCGATGTGCTGCAAGATATGGATGTCCTCTTTGATGGCAGGAGGTTGGGTCAAAATCCCATGTTTGGGTCAACTCGGGTTGACTAGGAGACTTTCAAGAGGACGGACACTTTCTCCAGGAGGGTTGGGCTTGTTGAAGCCAAAGACCGGGGGGCACATGGGAACCAACTACAAAAAGTGCCACCACCTTTTAGGGATTCCTCCTTGAAAGTGCTTTGAATTATTCTTTGTGTGGGAATCAACAAATCCGAACCTTGTAAACCTGGTGCAGCAGCAGAGCAACCCTGGCGTCTCCTGCAAAACCATGTTATATTTTAGGTAGGCTGAACATATCGGGCACCTGCAGTCTTCTTCTGACCGGTTGAAATGGGGGCATGACCTTTTTCGGGTTTACGACCAACCTTTTTGTGAGGGTCAGAAGGACGTGGCTGTGATTTTTACATGGGAACACTCTCCCACATGATTGGTGGACATCAATCACCGAAGTTTCATGTCCACCAGCTCGCATCCCCAAGTAAAATTGAGAGCAAGTACCCTCCCAGACACAAACATAGAACCCAGAAACCGATCCCCTGAAAAGGAACCTCTCGGTCTTCGGGCCCCTGCGCATTCGCCATTGCTTGAGAGAGGGTAGCTGACCCAAGAAATCCTTCGATGCGAAAAGGAGAAAAACTCTACTGTACCTTCCATTTCCATTCTTTCCAGGTATCCTTCTTTCTGCAAAACCACCCAAAACCCTGGGAAAACAGCTGGTTTTTGAAAAGAATGACGATTGAAAAGAATGGGGAATCAACCCCTAGAACAACAAATCACCGGCCAGGAGGGCCTGCAGTCCCTTCAGCTGCCCTTCGCCTTTCAGGCCAAAGGCTGGCGAAGCGTGTGCTTCTGTGGCAGCCGGCCGACCGCGGTAACGGCACCTGCAGGGTTAAGTGTCAACATCACGAAGTAGTCCACGTAGCCGGTTCAGGCAGGTTCGCGCAGGCATGTTTTGCCTTTAACAAACCTTGGAGAGGTTGGCCCGAGAAAAGCCTGCATAGGCACTCGCGCGAATGCGCTTGTTGCAGCGTAGGCTCGCATAGGCACCCTTTCGTGATCTTACACGCCAGCGGAGGCGCAGCGTAAGCGTGGCTGCCAGTGTAGAGGGCCGATACACCCAAAACTAGAGGACGGGAAGCACGGAAACATAGACAACTATTAACTACGACCATGAAATTCAAGCTTAGCATCCTGCTTCACAGTCTCTCCTGTCAACTTGTCTTGCACGTGATGCTGTGAATTGATGCTGCGCATGATGTTGCACATGACGGAGCGCATGAGGCTCCCCTCTTGTTCTGCCATCTCTCTTGCCCAATCTTTCATGCCCGCTTCTCTTCTCAACCTTTAGTTCATATATGGCAGTGGATCAAAACCAATGGTACCATTTTGGGGTAGGTGAACCACCCATTTTAGTCTATTCTAGTGGGATGTTCACTGGAGGTACGGGATTTTGACCCATGGCCATATCTGCGCGCAGTTTTGCTTTACTGTCAGTGATTTTCGAGCTGGCGATGCGAGAGCGCGCTTCGCGCAGTACCTCTGCTCATGCCTGTGCAGCCGTTTGCGCGTCTTTTTCGGTCTTTTTTCGGGAAGGAACTGCCTTGTTTTTTGTGTGAAACGGCCAGAAGGGGTTGAAAACCCTGATCCTGACCGTCACCGTGCAACCGTGCAGATTACGGTTGACCGTGCTGACCGGCAGTTGCACGGCCTCTTTCTAGATTGTCATCTTTTCTGGAGTTGTGTGGGTAGAGTGCCCAAAAGGCGGAAACAAACGGAACAGGAAGGGCATATCCGGAAATCCTGGCTGAGAAAGGTTGGCTTTGCGCACAACACGGCACAACGATATTTTTGCTCGAAAGCGGTTTTCGCACACGTGGGCTTCGCAGGGAAGCAACACCCCCAAAAGTTGGCAGGGGAATTTTGGCAGGTGAAGTACCGCGCGAAAATTTGGCAGGAGAAGTTGGCAGGTGAAGTAACTCTGCCACAGTCGAGCCGGCAGTATCGTCCTTGCTTTCTTTTAGAGATTAGGCTCGTGATGTCTTTTGCCACATCGGAGTCAGCCTCGTCTCGCGCCATGTGAGTCACTGACAATACATGGATGTGGCTCAAAATTATCCAGGAGGGGTTACGCAGGTTTTGGTCCATGTTTCCACTTACCAGGGTTCGTTTTTTGAGCCACGGCCATATGATTGGTCTTCCTTCGGCTTGCCTGCGGAGAAGGACATTTCGCAGGGCTTGGTGCTAGTCAGTTAGCATGACCCTCTTAGTTCTCAGCGGAATGACACGGAGCCCTAAAACGGACCGGCTCATTCCACCGTCTCCGGTCGCAGACTGCCTGGCGTGGCAATCCTGGCGGCATGGCGTCATCAGCTTCCACGAGGCGCGGGGTCGGGGGCTCGTCAGGGGCTCGTCAGGGGCTCGCGGCTCGGGGGAAAGCATGGGGGTTCGTTCGACATGGATGTTGGGTGCATAGGTCCGTCCTTTTTAGGTTAGTTTCGATTAGAAAATAGATGGGTTCCACTGGTTTGGGTGGGGTTTCTTCCATTTGCCAGGGCCATCCATTTTTTTCCAGAAGGCCATCTATGTTTGGGTACGTCGTGTTTGTAGCTACCTTACCTCCCCGAAAATGGGAGGTTGCCCCGAAATGGCGATGATTTCAGCCGCTCTCCAGGGCACTTCGCTTCTTGGCCGGGCCCACGCGGTAATATGTTCCAAAGCTGGGGGTTTGGGATATGAAACGAAGCGAGAGCCAGTTTGAGAACCTCACTCAACGCCATTCGAAAGAGTTGTGCCCTTTGCGCGCGACGGCCGCAGCCGGCGAGCAAACTCGAGTGGGAATGGTTCGGGGTGTGCCAGGGCCTTTTTGCGAGAGGTTGCTGTGGGTGTTCTCCAGGGTTTTCTTGGGTGTTTTCTGGGTGGGCGGGTGTTGGGTTTTCTTTGGCCTTTTCTGTGTTTTCCTTGGCTTTTCCTGGGTTGTCCCAAGGTTTCATTTGGGTTTTCCCCGTTTCTCCTTGGGCGTTGCCTGGGTTCTCCCTGCCCTTTCCCTGGTTGTTGTTGGTGTGTTCCCTGATGATCTCTCAGTTGTCCCATTGTCCTTTGGTTTTCCCCGTCCGTGTCGTGTCTGGGTGTTCTTCCAGTCTTTTCGTGGTTGTTGGGAAACATTTTGCCTTTTTGCTTATGGTTTAGTGGGAAATCCCCACTGAACTGCTAGAATTTAATTGTTTGCTCCCCCTTCCCAACGCCATTTCCTCGTGACTGTCTCCATCTTCCTGGGTTTTCCATAGCTTTTCGACCGGGGTCTGGGAGGTGGGGGCCAAAGCAGTCTCTCAGCAGGAACTGCTAAGGTTTAAGTTGGGAAACATGTTCACATCGCTCAGCGCACGCTTGTTGTTGCGCCCCCACACCCGTGCGGCACAACGAGATCCGAGCCCCAACCTAAAGAGCGGTGATGTCGCCCCCGCCCCCCGCCCCCCGGAAACCCGGAAACCCGAAACCCCCCACCTAAAGAGTCATTGGTGGTGCCCCCCCCCCCCAGCAAACCGAAACCCCCCCAACCTAAAGAGTCAGTGGTGTTAGTACCTAAAACCCCGCAGCCCAAGCTTCAAGTAGTAGGAGCTCCCAGTCCAAGTGACTGACTCAAAGTGCCCCCGTGGAACGCTGCAGATGAGGATGCCACCTGAGCCTTGTCCTTGTCGTCCACAAAGGTCTTGACCAACACCCAAGCCGGGAGCGGGGGTAGCTCGAGCACGGAACATCTGCGGTGAGGGTGAGCTTTGATCTTGCGAAACATAGCACCCCTCTCGCAGCTTCAGACCAAAGGGGTATGAAAGGCTGACAAAAACTGCGCCCCTTGCGGGTTGTGGGCGAACGTGGGGTGTGGGAGCATGTTATATACCTTTTTGCTTATTGTGGTTTAGTGGGAAATCCGTACTGAACTGCAATTCAAATGTTTCAGTGGGGGGTTTCCCCCTTCCTTGCTAAATGAAGGGAGCAGTGTCTTCATTTAATTGTTTGCTCCCTTTCCTTTGGGAAATCACCTCCGGTAGCTGGTCGATTCGAAGCGCGAACCCGAGGGACCGGCGAACGGAAGTGGCCATGGCCACATCTTTGTTTTTCTTCCTTAGATATGGCCATGGCCATGGCTTCTGGCTAAGATAAAAATTTGTTTGCTCCCCTTCCTTAGATCTAAAAACCAGGGAGCACAAATTCCCACGTCATCTGGTTTCTATATCTAAGGAAGGGGAGCAAACAATTTTTTATCTTAGCCATGGCCATTTCCAACCGATCCTTCCGTCCTCTCGCAGGAGCTCGCCCCCGCCTCTGTGAAGCTTCTGCTGCCCGGCGCCCCGCTGCGCCTTTCGGAGCGCATCGAAGCGCGGCACTTCGCGCAGGCGGGGGCTTGGACCACGGGCGGGGGGGGGTGGCGCCGAGGGTTTTTTCTTGGGAGGGGCCCTGTCCCCCGTGTGTGTTTTAAAGGGAGACCAACAGGAAAACACGTTTTTTGTTTTGTTTTTTGTTTTTTTTTCTCGAGGTGTGAAATGATTTTAAAGAAAGGTTCACAGTTCTTGCCTGGCATGTTGTTGGTTGTTTTTAAGGTTTGTTTGCTCTTTGTTGGCTGTGCTTGCGTGAGGGCCGCAAACAGCCGAGTTGTTAGGCAGTTGCTCGAGACATCGTCCCTTCGGCTTCAAGAGGTGTGGACAGTGCACGGGTGCGATTGCAATGGTTTCTGCGGGTGGAGCTCATACAGTGCTTCTCCGAAGTGATGGCTACGCCGTTGCTTGTGGACACAACAAATACGGAGAATGCGACATTCCGCCTCTCGATGAAGGTGTGACTTACACACAGGTTTCTGCAGGATTTGTTCACACAGTGGTCCTCCGAAGCGATGGTGCTGCTGTTGCTTGTGGCTGCAACAAGTGGGGCCAATGCGACATTCCACCCTTGGATGAGGGCGTGACATACACACAGGTCTGTGCGGGTCACTACCACACAGTGCTTCTGAGAAGTGATGGTGTAGTGGTTGCTTGTGGGTGCAATGAGTTTGGGCAATGCATCATTCCGCGCTTGGATGAGGGTGTGATATACACGCAGGTCTCTGCAAGTCGTCATACAGTGCTTCTCCGAAGTGATGGCAGTGCTGTTGCTTGCGGCAAGAATCTTTCAGGACAATGCAACATTCCACCTTTAGATGATGGTGCGACATATACACAAGTTTCTGCGGGTGCCTCTCATACAATGCTTCTCAGACATGATGGCCATGTTGCCTTTTGCGGGTCTCATGGTATAGGAGAATGCGACGTTCCACCATTGGATGATGGCATAACATACACCCAGGTTTCTGCAGGTCATACTTACACTGTGCTTCTCCGAAGTGATGGCCGTGCTGTCGCTTTTGGACACAATGTTAGCAGGCGATGCAATCTTCCACCATTGGATGAGGGCGTGACGTACATCCAGGTTTCTGCAGGTGGTAATCATACAGCGCTTCTACGAAGTGATGGCCATGCTGTTGCTTGCGGAGACCGCCGTGATGGGCAATGCACGATTCCGCCTTTAACGTCTTGGCTTGATTGGTTGTGGTTTTCCTCCTCAGCGCTTCGTTACGTTTCTGATTTAGGGGCTGGCAGAAAGCCAGACCTGGTCTTGCAACTTCAGTTTCTTCGCAAGTCTAATGCCATCATTCTGATCTGTTTGGGTTTAGATGGCTGTGAAGTGACTCGCTTAGAAAGCCGATCTGACCTTGCCTCGGATGCCTTGGAGACTTTAAAGAAGACGTTTGAGTTGAACACTGACAGGAAGCTTCGTGTGGTCTTGCCGGACGGTCTGTTGCTGGATGCAGTTTGCACGGCAAATCCATTGGTCACACTGGCTACTGTGTGCTTGCAGCATGACAAGGCATGACCAGGCGAAAAAAAGATGGCTATGGGTGAAAATTTGGTTCCTCAAAAAGAATGGTTTGTAATTGCAATCCGATTGAGCATGATCATTTTAGGGCCATAATGAACCCAGTATTCACCATCATCGACCCATTGTCAATTTAAATTAACCAACTATTAGCCATCTTGCGGCTTGCTAATTTTGACCCATAGGCAGATGTTGTCATGCCGCGGTGCTCATGTCAATCTCCACGATCTCTACGATCTGCGCAGAGGTCTATATTTTGAAGGATTGGCGTGGTGGTAGTTCAATCACATTTGAGCCGATGATCCAATTTGATAGATACTCTCGAGCCATCGAGCATGGCAATGTTTTTTCCGCCACGAATGGATCATTTCTTCATACCAAGCGTTGGAAAGTACTCTTTTCACCTTTGTCTGTTTGGGGGGGGGGGCGATGCCACGGGGCGGCGGTTTCCTTCCCACTTCTTTTGGGGGAAACATCTTAGACATGAGGTACAACCCCCTGCCAAAATAGCACCTGCGGAAGGGTACCTGGAAGAACAGCTTTCCGTGTAGGGTTCCCCCGTCAGGTGCTATGTTCCTCAGAGGGCGGGTAACATGGGGCGCCCTTTTTTCCCATGGAATTACACTGAGGGTTTGGGGCAAAAAGGGCGGCGGGAGGATGCGGAGCTAAGATCGACTAGCTAAAACCCGGCTTTGGTTGGTCAGTTTGCCTGTTCAGGGCTTGAGCTTTTTAGGATTTGTTATTAACTGCGTGCCAAATAGCGCAATATAGTTGATAGTGTTGTTAAAGGAAACCAAAGGGGATGGGTATGGTTTTTCTGAATTTTTTGTCTGGGATTCCAACTAGATGTCGTCTATAGTAGCAATTAGCTTATTTGCTTATTTGCATGTTTTATTTACCTGGATATTTGTTGAGTTGCATATTGTTGTTGGTTTACTTGTTTAGATTGCCTGAATGAAGGAGTGTAAGCATCGGCTTGGGCCAGGTGGGGCGACGTTTGAGGAGGAAAATCTAGGCAGCGCTTTATTGTATGAATGTGCAAAGATGACGATGACGATGACAATGATGACGATGATGACGATGATGATGAGGATGATGATGATGATGATGATGATGATGATGATGATGATGATGATGATGATGATGATATGTTGACCATGTCTGCGACCTTTGTGCATTCATTTGATAATCCAATATTCACGAGCTGGTGTTTTGTTGGGCAGAAGCTGAAATTACAAGAGGCGGATCAAGCTCTTCAGATCTATGTATCCCTTAAATTTCCGGAAGAAGTTGTTTGGGCGGGGGGGGGGGGGGGGTAGATAAAGAGGCAAGAGGCATTTCAGGAATCACACCTTTGGCCATTTGAAAGGAGAACCCGCATGAGGCAGCGTGCGTAACCAATGATGGTTTTCTCAAAAATGTTTCAACAGTTGAATCGCCCGAGCCTTTATGGAGTCTTGTCTGAGAACAGGGGAACCACAAAATGGGCCGTGTCCTTTTGATTCCACAATGAGTTCTGTGCGACCCCCGCCTCCTGGTACGGGTCGGGGCTGTAGTCTCGGCCAAAATCTTGTGCGGGGACCACTGTTTACCATCCAACTTGTCTTCTTCCAGTGTCTTCCATATTGGATATTTTTCACATGACCCTAGATATTCCACGCGTGTTGGCCCCCAAAGCAAAGATTGTTGTTTACAGTGATTGACGGGGACCTGTAAACGAAGCTCTTTGACGCTTCAAGGAACGCAGGGGTAATGAATGTTGAGAGGGGACCTCAAACGCAAGGCCGGGCAGTTTCAATGATGTGAACAAGCAACACATCTAGGAAAGCTTAGAAGGCACCCAGACATCAAAAGACAAACAAGAACTTGCCCACACAAATTTTGGGGTAGGCGTTCATAGAATTCAGCAGGCAACTCCCCCATGGGTTTGGCTTGGTCTTTCGCTGCTCCATTGTTTCCTCTGTGGGTGTACTAGCCAAATACTCACATGGTTTGGGTAGAACCCTTGTTAAAGCCTTGAAATGTGGGTGTGGGTCAAAATTAAACCACCAGGGGACCACAAGTTTTGGTCCATGTGGCTACTTACCGGGGCAAGCCATTTTGGGGTTACCCAATTTTTGACCCACAGCCATGTGACGAAGATGATGCTGACGTCTATGGCTCGCTGCCGCCTTGAGCTCGCAGGTGGCAAGGCGCTATGCGCTGCAACTCGAAGTGGATGTGGTGCCCTCGCCCGCCAGCGACGCGGACGAACGCGAGGCGGACGCGGTCCGGCGATGCCGCTGGGAGGACCGATTTGCGCGGTGGAGAAAGTGGAGGCGTGTTGGGAGATACGTTGAAACAGCATGCTTTGAGCTGGGATGTGTCAAGAGTGGTTGCGTTGTGGGAGGTTATTCAATTTCCTCTTGGTAGTTGACTGTTTGGTGGGCAAGCTTGAGGCTCATTTTTTGGCGCCCAGTTGAGCAGCGGCCGGGACATTTGAGGGTCTTAGCGTTCCACGCCTTGGGTATGGGACCTCGATTTAGCAATGCCATCTAGGCGAATTCCTTGACTGCTTTTGCAGCCACGGAGCACTGGGCAACGTCTGCGCATGATGGAGCTTGACACTTGACGGTCAGCCCATGTGAAGCCGGCCTTGCCGCACAGGCCCGTGAAACCTGTGAAAAACCACTTTGGATTGAGGGAAGGCCGCCAGGCCCTTTGCTAGACGAATTGGGGATGGGACTCCCACTGGTGCTTCACAGGGTTCATGTTCCACGGCCATGCCCTCAAAAGTTGCACATGAGTCGACATAGTTTCTCTCATTTGTTCCAGACGAAAAACACAAAGTCTGGTACCCCCTTATTGGTGGGTTGGATTGCTGGTTTTAAGATTCCAACCGGTTCTTGTAGAGGGTAAATGAGGTTTGGCCCTCCTAAACCACCAAACCACCGAGTCCAAACCACCAATTGCGGGGAAGTTGACAACTGGAGGTTTCCTTGCTACTCCTCCGTAGAGAACATGGGGAATGAACCGGAAAAGATTCCCGAATAAAGGACACCACCACTCTGGATGCGTTTCTTGGGTCATTCCATGTCTCATTCCCTACTCTTGCTGGTGCTTGGCAGGGAATGAGGGAATGGAATCACCCCTATAAACCATACAGGATGGTTTATTTTCGAGTCAGGGTTCCTTGGGGGGTCATTCCATTTCTCCTTCCCATCTCTCGCAGCAAGTTTCGGGCCGAGTCATCGTAGGAGATCCACTGGGCTTTGTCGTCCGCCGCCGGCAGTCAGCAGCTGCCTGAGGGCGCGGGGCGTGCCGCTCGCTCTCGGGGGGGTTGGCAACGAACCCCATGTAAGGTTTGGGTGTGCTTGTTGTTTTGGGTGCTATGCATACATCTATGTGTGTATATATATATATACACAGATAAAAGATATATATATATATATATATGTATATATATATATGTTTAGTTTGTTATTATTATGTTGTTATATTCATTTATGTATATAAAACAATATGCCATGACAAACATAAGCTTCATTACTCTAGGGCACCTTCTTCTCGATCCTTCCCGGGGTTTGGTTGCCTTCGTTCCCGTCGCGCCTTCGCGCCTTGATCCTTTTTGTGGCCAGGGGACGGCATTTGGTCCATGGGCAACCGGCGGATGTGCGAGAGCTTGGGCCACGAGTTCCAGTCAGGCGGATCGAAGTTCCCGGATCGAAGTACCCCGGAGAGAAAAGTGGAGGATTTGCATCCTCCGAACATTTGGGGCACATCCCCCCCCCAAAAAAAAGAAGATATATCAGAATTTCTCCCATTTTGAGGTGGGTCCGCTAACACTTGGGGCCAAAGGATTTGAGTGGCTTGGGACATGAAGCTTCCACTTTGCAGCGAAAAGGGGGCCGTTCCATGTCCCTTTTTGGGTTTCAACCTCCGCCTCGTAGTCCATGAAGCCCTTTCCGCAGCTCTGCGAATGGCCAGGGCGCTTCAGCTTTCTGGGGGAGCACTTGCCGTTACAGCGCCTGAGCGAGCACTTTTCGCGGTTCTTAAGTGCGGGGGAGTGGTGTTCTTGCAATCGGTGCAAGACATATCCCCACCCCCTCAAAAATGGAATTGTGGGAGGGGGGGGGGGTGACGACTGAAATTCCATTTGTGGTTCCATTACCCCTCACCCCCCCTTCCCCTTAATGTAGGGGGGATCGAGAGATGCAGGGAATGAGTTGGATGGTTCCGCGTTTTTGTCGCACGGCTTTTCGACGGTCTGGGAGATTGGGGCAACAGCAGTTTGCCGGCGTGACTTGCGTTGGAAGCGGCGGATTCGAGTGATTTGGCGCCAACTCTTTTTCAGCAATCAATCAGCACGGATGGGCGGTGCCAAGGATTTGGGTGTGGGTCAAAATTAAACCACTGGGGGACCACAGGTTTTGGTCCATGTTGCCACTTACCAGGGCAAGCCATTTTGGGGTTACCCTATTTTTGACCCACGGTCATTTCCTCGCCCAAGCAAGCAAGCCGCCGCCCCAGGCTCCATGTTCGGGAGGGTTGTGCTTTGCAATCGGTTCTATCCACTGACATGGAGCCGGAGAATGTTGAAGCAAATAACATTGAGTTGTGAGGAAGCTTGCCGTCCGTTCCTTTTCTTTCAAGGAAGTGGCAACTTTGGAATTCGAATTAAAAGCTGGCCTTCCATTCGGACCAGCCCATGGGCCGTTCACCATTCTGAGGTTCGGGCTTTGTGCCCCAGCTCAGTGCGACAGAAACGACGCCTCGGAGCAGCTCTTGGCGCGTTTGGCACCAGAGGCGAATCGAGGGATATGGGTTGACATCATGGGTGTGGTTCTACAATTTCTTTGAGGGCGCCCCTTGGGTGACAAAGTTGGTGTTGCTTTTGAGGGAAACCTGTTTGGATGGCTGGCAAGGCCAAAGGGTAGAAGTTGGGTCAGGCTCCCCTGAGTTGCCCTTTGTGCCCTTTGATTGAAAAGTCCCTATGCAATTCTTGTAGCGACCTATAGCGAGCTTGACTCTGGCCTACCGGGTGTGTCTTTTCTTGGTGGACCCCCCCAAATGGATTTCGCTTGTCTGATGTTCCTACCAACCAGACAGGGTTTCCCTAAAAGACGGGGACCCCCCGGCGCCGTTTCGTTTGAGGCCCCCGGTCGTGTTGGTCGTTTTGTTCACCTTCCACGGTGACGACTTCGGTGCATCGCAGGCTGTGCCGCTACTGCGGCAGGCGGAGTTTATGGAGATGCCGCGCTGGGCCGCAGGCGCATGCGAAACTCGACGGACTTCGGCGAGTTCGACCTAGGTCTTAGGTCTCCCAGTAGTGCCAACTTTTACCAACCTTTTTTGGTCGGGAGGGCTCCCCTACGAAAATAGACTACAGAAAAAAGTTGGTACCCTTATTCTAACCTCTCTACTGGAGGACCTAGCGACTATTTGGGTGGAGGGCGAAAAAACCAAGAGGCGTCCCTCCGATGTTCCGCCGCAATAAATAGGAAATACCGCTGTTGACAAGCCGTTCTTGCTTGTAAGCGTGTTGATTTGCTTTCCTAGAATGCTAATGCTAAATAACCCATCCTTAAGTTTCCCCAACGGAAGCCACACGGTGCCAAAGGTGTCGATTTCTTTTAATCACTTGCCGATTTCCCGGCCGCGTCCCGAAGCAGCCAATGTGATGACTCCTTTGGTCGATTTACCTCCCCCACCCCCGGAGTGTGTTGACGCACCCCGAGATTCGAGAGGCGACCACTGGGGCCTGGTGCTGGCACTTCTGTGCCCCGCCCTGGCGCCGCACCGAGTGATTCCGCTGCGACGGTTTAGAATCGGCACCTCAAAGGACATGAACCCCCGAAATGATGTCCTGTTAAATGGGTGTCCTGCTTGGAGATTCGCACCCTGAGTTCTTGGACTTGTACTTGGGAAGATGAGAGAACATGTTGAACCTTATGTTGTTTCCTCCGGAGCCACCGGATTCTGCATGAAACAACTGTCCATCGGAGGCCAAACAAAATACGCGAGTCCAACATTAGTGGTAACCTAAAGGTCTGGACCCTCGTTTGGCCAATCCACGCTGGTGAAGCTCCTTGGCTGGATTTGTTTAAATGTACTCCGCAACCCCAGCCGAATTATTTGGATCTTGATAGTACGCTTAGAGTCTGTGTTGTGGATGTTGCAAAGGGAAACCAAGACGCCACTGGTACCTTTGGGATCAACCCCAGATGGATGGGGTCTGGGTGTGGTTTCTTCGCCAGGTTTGGGGTTGTTGGAATTGTGACATCCAGGAAGCGGGCAAAGCCATGTGAGAATCCGATGAGGGAGTTGTTCGACGAATGCTGGCTTGGGAGATTCTCGTGTTTGGAGTCAGTACTGTATTTTAGGTTGCCTTCTTTGGTACAAAACCACAGCTTTTTTGGACACGCTAGTTTGAGACACACCAAAGTTTTGCAGTCCCCAACTAGGTAGGCCGACGTATCCGTGTCTCCAACTGAGGCACCACAAGCCTCTGGTTCTTCGATGTGATCTCAAACCGTGGAGGTTAAAAGTGCTCCAACTTATTTCACATTCTAATCTATCAGGTCCCAACTAGGACCCCCCCAAGCCCCGTGACGACCATGTATTGAAGCAAAGCCAGATTTCCAAAGGGTCCAAGTTCCAACTAGAGCTGTCTGCACCGATGTCCAAATCAGATCCGTCGAGTTCCAGAGAAATCTGATTCCCACCACCCCCCAACCATAGGCTATGGGTGTCCTTTTTGGGTTAGTTTGGCTAGAAATAGATGGCACTGGTTTAGATTTATTCCATTTAGCAGGGCCATCTATTTTCTACAAGGCCACCTATGCCCCCGCTTTTTCAACGTCCAGCATCCCAAAAGCGTCCAAAAGGCGTCGCGGCTGGGACCCGGACGCTCGAAGCTCGCCTGCGGTGAGGTCGGCCTGGCGGCTGAGATAAGTCACGAGGCCCAGAATGCCGTCCGACGGGGTACTGACTGAAACGGGCGGGGAACAACAAGCGAGCCATTTGGGTGTGGGTCACAATTCAAGAGCTGGGGCTACGCAGGTGATCGTCTTTGGTTCCATTTACCAAGGTGCCATTTTAGTACATGTTTCTGAGCCACAGCCATTTCAATCCTTCCCGCATGTTGCGACCAAACGAATTGCAGCAAATTGCCCAATTTGTTCAGGGCATGTCTTTCGCTCAAAATATGTTCGTGCCGCTGAGGCTTCTCTTGGCGTGCAGGCAGGTCCGTCGTGTGCCCGCGGGTTGAAGCAATCTTGCGGACGCTGGTGTTGCTTGTGGTGCCTTTAAGATGTGGTTACATCGCCTTTGCTGTATGACTCAAGGGGGTGGGAATTTCAGGGACCCCTGCATGCCAAACGATGATTGGGTACAGTGACTATCACGTAGGCGTTTTCGAAAGGCCGCTAGTAGGTATTTGGTGAGAGTTGCCTCCCACACGCGCACACGTCTACTCGGGCGCGCGCTCGTACTCGCACGTGGATTCGTACGGTTCGTCTTAGCTACATTCGCTTTAACGGCCTAAGTTTACCTAAATTACGGCAAAGTATGACTGCAATATAAAGTAAATGGCTGAGAAAGTATGATAGGATCGAGAGTTTACCCGTTGGCCATGTCCTTAAAATAGAAGGGCCCATGGTGAGGATTCTGCACTTCTAGGGGGTCCAACTTCATGTCCAAAGCAAAGACCTTGATCTTAATCAACAGATTGTGTTTACTTGAAATAAAGGGCGCACAACATGATGGTGTGAATTGAAATAAAGGTCAGTCAACATACCAGCTTGACCTGAAGTCGAAAAGATCAAAATGGTTTCTTTACTTCAAAGTTAAACACCAGTATAGCGTTACTTAATGCATATCATACAAAACTATGGCTTAAATGGCTAAACTTGAAATAAAGGCCAATCAAACGTGAAATAAAGGTTGCTCTAAATAATGGCTTGACTTGACATCGATTGTTATTCATGAAAGAAAGGTCAGTCAGAAATACGGCTTGACGTGGAATCAAGGTCATGCAAAACAACAGCGTAATTCGAGAGAAAGTCAATTACCACAGTGTTTTACTGGAAACACCTCACACAAATTAGTGGCTTGCCTTGAAATAAAGGTCACACACATTGCTTGGCTTTGCCCGAAACAAAGGTCAGTCAAAAGAATGGCTTGATTTGATATGAAGGCGGATGCTTCACATGAAGCTCAGTCAAAATACTGGCTTTTCTTAGATAAAGGTCAACCACAATTATGGCTGCAATTGAACTCGGACTCAAACAGTACAATCGGTTTCCTTGTCATCAAGCCCGTTCGAACAGGTGGGTGTCCAAAAATAGGGGATCTGCAGGATTTGCCGCTCGCTCAACAATGGGCTCCCTACCAACTAACCTAGAAAAGAGCCTCCGATAAAGATCACATGCACAGAAATACGTAGGCGAATGTCACATTCTGTGTCACTACTTTTTGTTGAGGCCCGGGCGGCTTTGGTTCTGCCGACCCCCCTCCTCTGGGGGCCGTGGTGTTTTTGAGGGAGTTTCGCCTTGCCCGTTGCATGAGTCAGTTTGGCACAGACTCGTTTGCGGATCACCTTAGTCTTCCTGGTTGCCAAACCGGATTCGGACATACAAGGCGGCACACAACAAGAATCGGCCAACTTGCGCATGGGAGGGCCAGGAAATCCGTGTTCCTGGCGGGTAGGTTTTGATTGATACCATTGTTTGGAAGAGTCACGGCCAGGTTGCCCCACAAAACGCGGTGTCTTGGACTAGAACAGCGACAACGGCCGTACAGGGTAGCGCCTACTGAAAACTTGCACTTTTCAAACTGGAGTTGCCAAATGCCAAAGGGTACCTTGCGCACTGTACATGTGTATTTAGCAGCGGCGGCTTTCGAGCTAGAACTGCGAATGCAAACTTTGCACATGATACTTATAAAGCTGTGTTGCTTTCGAGCTATGCGTAGTTGGCGTAAGGCACAAAGACTGTAAAAGACTCAAGTGGTTGGGAAATTGAAGCGTGTTGTTTGTGCCAACTCGCTCCATTCGCAAGCCTCGAGCAACTCGCTTGGCAAAGATCCGAGGTCATCTTGCTTGCAGAAAATTCGCTGGCCGGCACGCAGCGGAAAAGGCTATGAATTTCAATGGGGAATTTTAGATGATTGGTACATAGATCAACAACCACTTGTTGGTGGGTCACAGCCAGCGTCCCTCAGCGTATTTGGGCATGAGTTTTCATAGTTGCAACTCCTTTGGGTTGGATTGAGTGGTACTGTACAGGCGTTTTTGTGAAATGTGTTGGGGGGCAGATATATAAGAGGGTGCAAATGCGGAATTTCAACATGAGCAAGGGCCATACATTTGCATAAAGTGCATAGTGTAAATTGCATGTATGGGTGTGTTTGTTTCCGGGGGTACCCTTTTTGGGCGTTGGTTTGAAGGAAATTCAAAGACGGACAACCCCAGCACACGCGTGCACACCTGAGCCTTCAATTCCGCCTTCGCGGAACAGGTCGCTGCTCTCCTTGCCAGGCGAGGTGTCTTCAGGGGTCACTGCTTTTCTCCGTCAAAAGTTGCTGAATTTGCTGGTGTCCGTTGAAACGACTAGTGGATCCAAGAAAGGGAGCGGGAGGAAATGGAGGAAACCAGTTCCAGACATTGGGCTACCTGGAACCCGAACATGAAATCCTGGAGCTCCGCGGTCGAGCTGGGGCTAGGCAAATAAAGTAGTCGAGGGCCTTGCCCCGCAAATAAATTGCTTCATACATACCCCCCACCCTACATTTTTTTTCATCTTCCATCTTCTACCCTTATTTGTTTTCATCATTTTTCTACATTCCTTTCTGTCCATCTCATCCGTTTTTTTATCATCATTTTTCCAAAATTTTCGCCATCCTTTTCTCCTTTCTCCTCGCCTCATTCATTTCACCAACTACCCTCCAAAATATCATTTCCTCAATCTCCTCGCCTCGTCCATTTCAAAAAAATAAATTTTGCAAAATATATTGCAAAAAATATTTGTCATCAAAAAAATATTCGAACTGTCTAAAAACGATTTGTCCATTTCCCGGACAAAAAATAGAACAGCAACAACATCACTCCCTCCTTCGTTTCATCAGTTTCATCATATGTTTGTTTGGGCGTGGTGTCCCTTGTAGGATTTTAGGGGTTTTTCAGGGGTTTTGGGGGCAACCGTTGGCTCCGCCCGTGCTTGGACTTCATCGTCCTCATCGATGCTTAGTGCGCCCATTTGCTTGCGGAGAGAGTAGAGAGTTGGCAGGCATTTTGAGTGTCGCCCTCACAGGTAAATCCCTTTTACCTCACAGGTAAATCCCTTTTACCTCACAGGTAAATCCCTTTTACCTCACAGGTAAATCCCTTTTACCTCACAGGTAAATCCCTTTTACCTCACAGGTAAATCCCTTTTACCTCACAGGTAAATCCCTTTTACCAAAGACTAAAACAGCATTGAGGGCGACCATTCTATGCCATCGTGCCTGACTTCATTGACACTGCCAGTCAGAGCAGTGGTTTGGAGTAGGCAGTTGAAACTTTGCTACCATCCGATGTGGTCTGAGAAAATAGGGCATGTGCTTTAACTTTGCTGTGGGCTGGCTTGGGTTTTTGGGTTTGCTGGTGGGTCCCTCTCCCCCCTCTCCTGCCTTTTATGTGTTTGTTTCTTTTTTCCTGCGCAGGTATCTTCATCGCCGCCTTTGACTTCCAGACCGTGCCCTACTAGGTAAGGACTTGGCCGGGAGGTTTTTTTTTTTTTCTGGGCGGGGTATATATATATATAATATATAAGGGGAAACTCTCGCCAATTTTTTTTGTGCCCTGTTTGGGAATTGGTGAGAGTTTCCTGATATATCTATATGAATATTGGCGTTTTCTAAATTTGATAAACTATGGATTATCCCCTTAAAAATTAATATTTTCATTTTTTTAGAATTCCATTTTTTACTGTGTTGTCGTTGGATGAACCTAGAAATTTCAAGTTTCAAGCCCAACCCCAAACTCAAAATCCTCAATCCACCAAGCTCATCAAAATTTCCAATATTAAATCACTAGGTATTTTATATAGGTCTTCCTGCTTATGTATTGTTGGATTGTCTCCCCAATTTTCCTTGGTGCCCGATGGCAGTCTCTGTGCGGTTTCAATATGTTTATTATTCCTGATGTTGCCACAATCCTTTTTACATAATTCTCTAGGTTTCCAAGTTGTAATGTTATTCCAGAGCCTAGTGCGTTTTCTGTAAGGCATTCCATACTTGCAGTAATCAACATCTTTAAAATCAAACTCATCCATAAACTCCTGATGTTTTAATAATCCAGTTTGTGGATTTTCGATTACAAAATATTTAGGATTGAAATATTTGATAATATCAATAGTTTTTAAGACAATACTATTTGCATATTCGATATTCCTAATTCCCCTAGTTTTTGCTACACTATATTCAGTGCATGGGGGACTACTCCAAATAAAATCAAAATGGTTTCTGTCAAACTGTTTGTAATCCCACTCCAAAATATCAGTGTTGATATCAGCATTTTTCAAGTCTAATGATATCACATTAAATCCAAGCGACTTTGCTATGGTTCCGACGCTTTTTGTTCCGCTAAATAATTCTAATAAATTCATTTATTAGAATTATTTAGATATTAATTATTCAAATAATACATATACTCCATCATCATTTTTTGTAATTTTATAAAACTCTAATGTTTGTTGCTTTGGTTGTTTGATTTTTCCTGTATTCAACATATCGCAGTATTTCTTTTGCTTTGTAGGGTAGTCGCCCGATGGTCTTCCTATAGATTTTGCTTGAAATATCTTTTCGATTTTCTCCTTCTCTTCGTTGCTTTGTTGTTCGCGTTCAACTGGTTTCATTTTGTCATCAATGGATTTAATCATATCATTTAAGTTTTTGATATTTTTACCAATTAATGTTATCTTCTTCATTAAATCATTAATAGTATAATTCTCATTTTCAGACATTACTATATATTTATTTAGATATTAATTTATTTAATTATATATTTTTCATCATTTGTTTAACAGTTTCTTGTGTTTCGTTTTCATTATTATCCGCGAGTGATGCATCCTTACCCCATTTAAAAGTTATATTGTGGACATCAGTTTCTAAGTTGATACTGTCTTTAGTTTTATCAATACTCATTTTCTTATCATTTTTACTTATTTTGAAACTTGTTGGAATACATGAACATTTACAATTTTTATTATTTTTTATTTCTAATTCATTTTTCATTTCTAACATCTTTTTACACATTGGACAAGAAAACTCAATTACTGCTGTTTCTTTAACAATTTCTCCGCTATCTTCTGTTGAAGATAGACTTAAACTTGTCTTATTTTTGTTTTTCTTTTTCTTTTTCACCATTTATATTAATATTTACATTTTTATTTTTGATATACTGTATCACAAACTTAATTAATTCTAATGAATAATAACAGCATTTTTTAGTTTTATTATCAGTAATTATTACTTGTTCTATATTTTCTACTTCATCTATTATATTAATATAATTTGAATAACTCCTATTCATATAAATAATAAGATAAATTATTTTTCATTTCTGCCTTTCTCTTCTTGTAAAGTTTTTTCATTGTATCGTCTTTATTCCATCTATATTCTACAAATTTCTGATGATGTTTTGAATTTAGATGTTTAAATAAATATTTGCTATCATAAGTTTTACAACAATTGCAATGGATAACAGTCATATAATAATAAGATAAAATAATTATTTAAATTATTTAATTTTATTATTTTCATGCATAATAGAATATTGGTGGGCACAGCACTTGGGGTTTTCATTGCACGCGCGAGAGAGATACAAACTAATTAGCTTCAATGCTTATTGATTGTAGCAATGGACGCATCGGCGATGCCTCGCGAAGCTTCGCGACAACCTGTTCCATTTTATGATATTCGCCACCAGCATATCATAAAAATGATGTTCCATTTAATAATAATTACAAGTTAATTTTTAAATATAATTTTCTATATTTCTTTAATATCAACTATGACAGATGTTCCAATAATAAAACCAATAAACATAACCGAATATGAATTCAAGCAATCCAAATATGAGCACGTGCCAAAATTACCATTTAGAAGTATTATAGTTGCTTCTTCGACAGGCGGTAAGACTGTCCTTATTCAAAATTTAATATTGAATGTTTATAGAAATTCATTCGCAAGAATATTTATATTTTCACCCAGCGTCCATAACGACCCTACATTTACAGAAGTTAAAAAATACATCAGGGACGAATTGCACGTGGATGATGAAAAAGAACAAATTTATTTTGATAATTATAATCCAAGTGATTTAGAAAATGTAATTGAAAGACAGAAGAAAATAATTAATTATATGAAATCTAAAAAGATAAAGAAACTACATTCAATATTAATCGTTATAGATGACCACGCGGACGACCCTAAATTTGTTAGATATAGTAAATTATTACACGGACTTTTTACAAGAGGCAGGCACGATGCAGTAAGTGTAATTTGTTCAACACAAAAATATAATGTTTTAGCGCCTATCATTCGTTTAAATGCCAGTTCATTATATATTTTTAGGTTGAAAAATGCCAGTGAATTAATGAGTTTTATTGAAGAAAATAGCGCCATTGTTGATAAACAGCAATTATTAGATATGTATCGTCAAGCCGTTAATTTTGCTCCATATTCTTTTTTCTACGTGAATATGAATTCAAAAGACATTAACAAAATGTTTCATATCAATTTTGAACAGGCATTTCAAATTACAAATGATGAATAAAGATATTCTAACTTAATATAATATAATAATATGCCAATGAAACTATGTAGATGTGGTGGATTGTATCGTAGAGGTAATTATAATTTTCATACTAATTCTTGGATACATAAACTTTATAAGGCATTGAAGAGGAGGGCAACGGACGAGGAATTATTAAGATTTCAAAATAATTTTGTTGATGAAGACGCTTCGCCAGAGGCTCGCGAGCTTCGCGACGATTTAATAGATGAAACAAATAGCACTGTTTCAACATCAACGCCAAAAAGTGAAAGAAGTTGTATAAGCAATTAATAATATTAATTATGTTTTAATATTATTAATTCAAAATAATGAATAGCTACAAAGGTTGAGAGCAGGTAATTTATAATATATTTTATCCTTTTTACATTCATTAACTTTTTCTAATTTATTGATTATTGCTTTCAATGAATTTATTTGTAGAATATCAATTCTTGACATTTCACTTATCGTATTTACATCTATATCTTTTATTACCTTAATAGCCTCTTCATCATCAATTTCTACTGGTTTTGATTTACTTGAACCCATTATATATAATATTATTTAGATTTTAATTTTTCAAAATTGAAATGTTGGTTTTCTTCTTCTTCTTCGTCTTCAGTTGGTGCTGGTATTTCTGTTGGACTTTCGGATGAAGAACTATGGACAGTAATAGGTGGAGAACTATGAACACTAATAGCTTCATTTGATGAATTGCTACT